ACGTGGAGGTAGTCGGTGTTGTTGCTGTTGTTGCAGAGGTGCGGCAGGAGCAGCCGGTGGTGGTGGTGGAAAACGTGAAAGCAATTCAGCAAACTTGTTATCGAGCTTTGTTTCAAACGTCTTCTCCATGCCATCTATCTTCTCCATGGCCTCTTCAAATCTGTTTAGCACATCTTGCATCTGTCCACTCATCATTTGCTGAAACTTATCATGAAGCTCCTTGTTCGTCAAGTTCTCCCAGTCAGTCTCGTCGGCTTGTGATCCTGGCATGGTTAGCAGCAATAGAAACGCATAAGAATATGATCCTACAGACTACTAACAAGTGGTGGTGGTGGCGGGTGTCACAAATCCGTCAAGCAAATCTCAAATTCTTACCAGTTCTTACCCAGCAGCAGGCGGTGATCGGCAACCGTTGTAGTCAAAACTCTCAAAAGCTTGGATAGAGCGATTGCCAGGGAGAGTCAAACGCACGGCGTAGATGTATGTGGAGCTGGGAAGGCTTATAGTATGGTAGCAAAAAGGGTCGGCAATAATCAATTCATAGATGCAAAGTTGAATAAACGCTCAACGACGGTACTGTGCTGGTCCTAGGCTAGACCGTGCTAGAGACGCGAGCCTAGAACACTAACAAAATCACGGCGCTGCACGTAAATAAGGGAAAAGGCACACTCTGGAACTCTTTTTTTTCGCTCTTTTTTTTACGCTCCTTTTTTTTGCGCTCTTTTTTTGGCGAAAAATCACTATAATGGCGAGTGTCTCAAAACTCTTCCCTCATCAAACTGATAGGATGGGCACGAATTATTTTTTCACTTTTTTTCGGAAATCAGGGCAGCGACGACGAAAAAGTGCGACAAAAAATCACTATGATGGCACGTGGCTTAAAAGACTCAGAAAAGCCTAAAAATAGGATAGGGAAAAATATTTTTGCCCGTGAAAATTTTGGCCTAAAAACTGCCCGTGGGTCTCCAGACTCTTTTTTTTTCGAGACCTACGCAGGCAAGGAAACACGAATCGGAATTTAGATTGATCTCAAGAACAAACCTAATATGAGAAGAACTCGGATTGGTGGTGGATATATGGTTGTGGTATATGGCAGCGGTGGTGGTATATGGTAGCGGTGGTGGTATATGGATACCGATTGGTGGTGGTATATGGATACGAACTGGTGGTGGTATATGGATACGGATTCAGAGTGGTGGCGGATAAGCAATGGTGGAAGATGGGCGATGATGATGGTGCGGCGGCGGCGTGACAACTTATGACCAGAACTCGAAACTCTAAAAGACTAGACTCTAAGACCAGCAACTTGACACGACGATGCAACCGCAAATTCAAGAAAGCAAAAACCCTAAAAAGATTATGCAAAGGCTCAGATTGGTTCGGATATGATGAACTAACCCTAATTTTTTGTGGCCTTTTCGTGGACTGTAGGTATGAAGAACAGACTCGATCTAATCTATGAAAAACTGTAAAATCTCACCAAGCAACCTGGAAATCTGATACCACTTGATAGAGGCAAAGGTGTCCCGATGTTTCGATGAGATGGTGGCTATCGTTTTCTATGGGAGTCGACCTTGACGATCCGACTACGAACGTGCGAGACGTCGCGCCTTAGCAATCGCTAAACCAACTTCCGAGGGTTATTGACCACACCGGAGCACGATCAACCTGACCACGAGGGTCTGTTTCCTACGAGCAAACGAAGAACAAGCAAGAAACTGAGATTGCAATCTGGATATTGCGAATATAAGATGAAAGCTTTATTGATCAAGGTGGGTTCTGTGACGTCTTGGTCTGGTCGTTGGACACAAACGAAGTACGAGAAGTTGCAGCTATGGCGAACTTTTAATCTAAACAAAACCCAAAGCCTAAATGATGCCCTAAGGGCTGTATATATGGAGGAGAGAGGGGGAATTTCATGGCCCTTGGTGGAGGGGTCCGAAACCAACCCTAACTCTTGTTTCCCCACACATACGGACTCTAAAAATAGCCTATACTTAAGTACTTCGAAAATACATGAGCCTGGCCCAATAATAAGGTGACGCAGCACCTAAAATAGCCTCTGGACGAAATTTATGAAGTGGCATCTTTATATTTCGTCCCATGCTTCATGCACTCATTATGGTGGCTTCAGAGTCATGGAATCATCACTTGTAACTCCGTTCTTGTTCCCCTTGCGCATGCCATCATCTCCATGCTTGAACTTGCTTCAAGGTTCACCTTTCTTGTCCAAGCTAGGCCCTTCATTTGTAAGCAAAACAAATGTATCCAATTTAGGCAGCATCATATTCTCATGAACATTAGAATCGTTACCAAGAAACGAAAGTACCTAATAATTCAATTGGCGTGCGCGAGCTCTAGTAATCGGTCCAGTGTGTATAGCAGCAGGGGCTGTGGGTGTAACAATGGTATTGATGTCCTCATCAGAGAGCTTGAAGGGCATTAATGGTGGAGTGAGAGAGGTCAAAGATAGGAGTGGTAGGTGGGAGAAGCTCCCTTAAATAGTCACCCACATTTCCAACCGTTACTGCGTTTTTTGCACTGCAGCGGTACAACCAGTCCTCGTCCCGGTACAACTGGGACTCACGGTGTAACTGCAGAACCCTACCAAGCGGTACAACCGGACAGGCGGGCGGTAGTACCGGCTAAGAAAAATAACCGGACTAACCGCCTGGCTACCGCACAACCACCGCATCAAAACAGGAGCTTGACCGGTACTTGAGCGGTGCCTGGCCGGAACAACCGCATGGCCTTGAGCTCTTGGGCGGCTAAGTTCTGAGTGGAAGAACCGCTCGGACCACCGGTGGTACCGGTCATCGTGGAACGACCGGACCAACCGGGCCACTACCGCCCAAGAACTGCATCAAACCAGAAGCGAGAGCGGTACTTGAGCGGTGCATGGACGGAACCACCGCCCCAGCTGTTGCAGAGCATGATGGCGGTACCACCGCCCGGAGGCAGCGGTACAACCGCTCGAGCAAAGATGGTGAGCGACAAGACCCAGCGGTACAACTGCTCCAGAGAGCGGTACAACCACTGGGCAGAAACAGTGAGCAGGAAAGAGAGAAAGAGGCAAGGAAAACGCTCTCTCTCACACACACCTGAGGAAGGCAAAGAGAGGGTGAGAAAAGTGTACGTGAACTGATTCCCCCAGAGCTTCCTAATGAGGATTCCCTCTTGATAGTACGGGTACTCTACGACCAAAGAAAATAAAAACGTAGAGGACACGTTTTCGATCTTTTCCTTCGAGAGGCAATAGCAATCCGATGTAAGCCTAAGCATCGAGAACCTAAAACATATAGCACACGATTAGACCACAAAGGGTTGTCATCATCATCCAAAACATAAAGTAGGGAAATGCCCTTTCACCGATGACCGCCCCCATGGGTTGCTAAAGTGTACGGGTTCGGTGACCGCCCCCAAGGGTTGCCATTTGTACGGGTTCGGTGACCGCACTCAAGGGTCCCTTAGTGGAATCACGACATCTTGCATTGTGCGAGAGCGTGAGGAGATTACGATGGCCCTAGTGGCTTCTTGGGGAGCATTGTGTCTCCACACCGCTCCAAACGGAGATTAGTATCCGCAAGGGTGTGAACTTCGGGATACATCGTCGTCTCCTCGTGCCTCGGTTATCTCTTACCCGAGCCCTTTACTTATGCACTTTACTTTGTGATAGCCATATTGTTTCTTGTCATATATCTTGCTATCACATAGTTGCTTATCTCTCTTAGCATAAGCTGTTGGTGCACATAGGTGAGCCTAGTTGTTTTAGGTTTTGTGCTTGGCAAATTAATCGCTAGGTTTATTCCGCATTTGTTCAAGCCTAAACCGTAATTATTTTAAAACGCCTATTCACCCCCCCCCCTCTAGGCAACATCCACTATCTTTCAGGTTTCAAATAAGTGATTAAATATACTAACAATATATCAAATTTCTATAGTTTCTCTTATATTTCCTACAGAAACATAAATAGTACAAGATTAAAGATTGTCAAAATTACAAGATCAAGGACTATCAAGAGGACACAAGATTTTTAATACTGAAGATATCTGTAGATTCTCAAGACATTGAAGATTAAAACAGCGCTGTCCAAGGGGGAGTGTTAGGAATCTAATAGTATTAGTATTAGGCTAATTAGGCAGTTAACAGATTCCTTAGAATATTCTAACCGGTGGTTAGAATCCTGGCGTTGTCCAGACGCATTACATAACGAACCGTTGTCGTGCTTTTCTGAACCGTCGCCGCACCTCTTCTGAACGATGTGACGCCTCTTGTAATCGACGTTGTAAACATCCGTTCAGGACATATAAAAGCCTGGATGAATCAATCAATAAAGATCACTCCATTCACTTCAATCTTTCTGTTTCGGCAATCGCCCCAGGAGAAAGATAAAACCCTGACGTGAGGGAAAAGTAGGATCCTGGTTTCCGATTGTACCGATTTGTGTTCGTTGTGCTGCATTTTTGTTCGCTGTGCAGCGTGTAGCGGGCCGGCCCACCAGGGGGTCGGCAGCGAACAGAGCTCCCTGGCCCTGCTACCGGGCACCTGGCTGGATCCCGTGGGCGCAAGGCCGACGATCCTCGGACACGGTGGGACCAAAGCCCGAAGCCGAAACGACCTCCCACCGAACCAACCAGGTACCCTCGTAAAAACCGTGCCGTTCCCGTCTCCGGAACCGCAACGGTGTCCACGTCCAGCAGCCCACCGCCACCACCTCGCCCTTGAAAAGTGGCACCGGACCGGAGCCACGACCGGCAGCCAAACCACGGACGTGACCGCACCGCACCGCGACTCAACACCGAGCCAACCCGATTCCCCCAACCCAACGAGCAGCGGAGCGGAGCGGCCTCTATAAACGGCCGCGCGGCCGGTCAGGCACGCCTCCCAAAAGCCCCACCCCCCACCCCCACGGCCCCAGCAAAAGCGCCTCGCCTTTTCCTTCCCCTACCTCGGAGCGGAGCGGAGGCAGGAGCCGAAGCCGGAGGAGGAAGATCAGCAAGATGTGCTGCTGCCCGAGCAAGGCGTGCTGCATCTGCATGCTCATCATCCTCGTGCTCATCGCCGTCGGCCTCGTCTTCGGCTTCGGCGTCTACACCCGCGGCTTCCACAAGCTCTCCTCCAACATCCACCTCCAGGACGGCGCCTCCTACCGCGCCTACGGCCACCTCAACCTCGCCCCGCCGCCCGCCTACTACTAGAGCCTCGAGCCTCCCCCGGGATCTACTCTGCCAGCAGCACGGCACGGCATGGGGTCGATCCCCTCCGGCCCCGGCGGTCCGCCGCGCCCTGGGGATCGATCCCCCGCACAGCGTCATGCCGTCCGCGAAGAGGAGATTCCGGGGCCGGTCGATTTGCATTGATTTTCTGCTGGATTAATTCCCGTTTGTTGCTTGGCTCCGATGATGTCGATATTTTAGCAGAGATTATATTTACAGATTGATGATGATAATTACCGTTACTATATCCCTCCCTTTGCGTTTTGTTAATTACTGCTCATTGGTTGAAAAACTTACTGCTCATTAGTTTAGTGCTCCATCATGCCTCCGTTTGTGCCTGTTTATTACTGCTCATTAGTTTAGCGCTCCATCATCATGGAGGCACATGGATGGTCGGGATAGTTATCCGGCGAGTTGCGATAATCTCGGCGTCTGGCCTTGGCAGTTGGCACTTGGCAGCATGTGCTTTTCGGTTTGGCTTGACGCACGAACTGCACTGGACTACGCAAGGAGTCAAACGCTTTCTGGGGAAGCAGAGTGACGTCCACGCTAATCCGTTCCTGTGTTGTTGTTGTGTACTCTACGATACTTGTCGTGGGTCATGGTCAGTCAGCAGATTTGGTTGCCCGTCCACTGAAAAGGTTGTAGTGGTTCCGTTGCCTTGCACGTTCGACCTGCTGAGTTGAAACGGCGATGCAGTAATGTGAGCCACTCATAATCACTCTACTAACTGCCCCGTAATAAACCCATGACGGCAAAAGCCTGATAGATGCGTGGTATGTGGTTTAGCACGCACCTGCCAAGCCCTCCCCAGCCATCCGATTTGTTCTGTGATTTGCAAAGTAGTTGCATCCCGCGCGAGGGAATAGTAACTTTTAATAGTTGAAACTTGTGATTTTTCGGTCCCTCGTACAAGTTTTAGAGTTGAAAATTCAAGCGATTGTTTTATACAAAATTTGTGATTTTGTTGATCACTCATACTAAGTTTAAAAGGTTAAAACTCAACGGATATTTTTTTAAAGAACTCTAAATGTATTCAAAATGGATCTTGTTTGAAAGCCATGGTCACGAAAAAATATGAATACAAAAACACAATTTAATTTGGACTTTTTGTTCAAAATTATGAAACATCGAAAATCAAAAGGCAAAAGCAAAAGCACGCACGAGGGACTCAGTGCCCCCGCACCTGTGTGCCACAAAACTCTCTGTCATGTGGTTGATCATCATAATAACCGATACGGTGTTTTGGTCCCAAAACCACCCTAAAAGGCCGACACATCACCTCCACTTCTGTCTGCGGCAACTTCCACTTCACTTCTTCACTCTGCTCAATGGCACGTCGCAACCCCATGTCCGCCAACATCAAGCAAAACCTCACTCATCAAGCATGAGAAAAAGGGGCAGGGGCAGGGGCAGGAGGAAGCGGAGTAAGACGAGGAAGAGTGGTGGGCCGACCACGCGCCTGCCGTGGAGGCTGCTCGGAAGATGAACGTTGGGAGGGGCCGCCATTTTGGGACCACACATCCGTTGTTGATGCCGATGAAGTGCATGGCCGGAGTGAGACAAGGCCAGGGCGAGCCCAAGCTGAAAATTACCCGTGTCCGCATAGAAGAGCATATACCTGTCTGTCAAACAATTCAATGACCTACACACTAAATCAATTGATTACATTAAGCAAGTGCAAATTGGACTCGGTGCCAGTGACACCGGCTAGCTCTACCTTGCTTCACCCCTGGACGAGGCCGCCTTGGCCATATCTGTCAAACAATTCAATGACCTACACACTAAATCAATTGACTACATTAAGCAAGTGCAAATTGAACTCGGTGCCAGTGACACCGGCTAGCTCTACCTTGCTTCGCCCCTGGACGAGGCCGCGTTGGCCCGTTTACGCGTAATGGAGGCCCACAATGCCTTCGGCTGTGCATTGCGGGATGTGGCCAGCCTAGCCCGCTTCCACAAAATTGAAGCCGCCAATGCCGTTCCACATCGATATGTCCAACGCTGACAAGTCCCGCCGCCGTCGTAACTATTTTAGTTAGTTTAGTTTATTCAACTTTCTATATGTAATACAAGTCAAAGTGCGACTCATTTTTCGCCCTAGTTATGAATGAAATTATTTGTAGTTCTAACTGATATGAACATGTTATCGCTAGAAGCCAAATTTACGCGTGTTGTGCATGGGTGGGTTGGGGAATCAGGGAAGAAAAGAGTTAGCTAATAACATACGAGTCCCACACGCAAGGAACTTTGGAAGGCTGTATTTTGCGGTTTTTGAGTTTGAGCGTGGGCGTTGGAGCTTTCTTAGTTTTTGGCGAACACCTCCATTAACACTTGTGGTAATCCATATTTTGCGGATTCTGCTGGAAATCAATTGCCGACCCACAAGATGGATAGAAGTGGAGAAGTTCACCATGACACGCTTTGCCCATAAATCGTTGTTGGCATTAACATTTCAGGCGAATAAGCATGAGTGTTTGGCTCATACTTAATACTCCTATGTCTCATGCCAATTTTGACACTTGCAAAAGAAAATGGATGCGCTACCGCGTGACGCACTCCACACCATAGAACTCAGCCATATGTCAGGTGGTGCGCACATGACAGCTCGGCCGATCGGATGGTGTTTGATCCTAACAGCGCGTTTGGTTGTTTAAGGAAAAGGGATTGGGAATTTATGAGAGGGAGTTGCCTGAGGGATTAGGCTTGGCAAGTGGACTATTAGTCCTAATCCCACGTTTTGTGTGGGGTGGGAATTATATGTGGGAATAATTTTAATGAACAATGGAGAAAGAAGGGGACACGCAAATGTTGAAACAAAATCGTAACATGTGAAGGCAAAAAAGAGAGTAGAAAAGGAAAATAGATCTGCATCGGTCTGTGAAGGAAAGATAAACGAATCAAACTTTGTTAATTACGTAGCAAAATCAGATGGGCTACACGCTGCTGGCTGCCCCTCTTGCATGAGATGTGCTCGTGCTTGGCATTGCATCTGCAGATTAGTAAACAGTTAGAGCTGGCCGATTTATTTGGAGGAAAAATGATGTCGCTGCAAGTAGGATTTCCGTGGAGTTTTTTCCTTTCTTTGTGGGAGGTGGGCCAATAAATCTGTAACAATTTTCTTCCAGGCGCCAATTCCCATTCCTTCGCGGAATTACCAGGGTCCCCCAAGGAAGAGATAGATGGGAGTTGGGCCTCCTAATTTCCCTTTCCCTTCCCCTTCCCTTCTTAATTCCCAAGTCCATGAACCAATCAAGAGATTTTTAGTCCCAGCCACCTTAAATTCCCATTCCCTAGCTCCAACTCCCCCCAAACAAACAGGCAATAAGTCCTTTTTTTTGGGAAACGGTATTTGATCCTAAGTCGAGTTGTAGGCTCATGGACCAAACCGTGCTTGATTTAGGCAAAAAGAATGTGACCCAATTTTGGCAACAAGTTGACCATTACTGTTTTGATGGAAGTTTGGCAAGGCAAATAAAATAGAGACATGGATGGAGTTTGGATGGTTAGGAGGATGACGATTGACGTGCCGGCTAAGTCTTCTGTAGGCGAGTGTATGCTAATATATGTAAGCGACTTCGATTGAACTGTGCTAAAAAATTTTGTCATGCCACTAAAAGTAAAAAATATCATGCCTTCAACATAAGAAAATACATTTCTTATAATTTTGTTTCTTATAAACTGCCATGCCATTACAAATTAATAATGCCATCCTCTTAACAAAAATGTCGTGAACAAAAAAAACAATGCATTTCTTATGAAAAAAAATGAAAATGCCATGGACCAAAAATACAAAATGCTATGATGTAACTTTTTTTTGCTTGAGTTGCACCATTGTAGAAAAATTCATATAAAAATGGTGTGTAAATGTAATTTTTTTGCCATGCCAATAAAGAAATAAACATTGTCACCTTCCTAATAATAAAAATGCCATGTCCACAATAATGAAAAATGCCATGCTCTATATAATAAAACTGCCATCTTGTTAATAATTAAACTACCATCTTCCTAATGATGAAAATGACATGCTCTATATAATAAAAATGGCAACCTGTTGATAGTTAAATTGCCATCCTTCTAATAATAAAAATGTTGTGTCAACAAATAATGAAAATTAAATGTTCTCAATAATAAAACTATCATCCAGTTAATAATAATATGCCATCTTTCTATTAATAAGAATACCATGTTATTAATAATAAAAATGTCATGCTCGTAATAATAAACTGTCGTCCTCTTGATGATAAAAAATGCTATGTTAATACTAATTGCCTATCTCTTAATAATAAAAACTACCAGTGACTTATAATAAAATTGACATGGTACCTACAATAAAAATAAAAATAAAAATGCCATGCTACCTATAAATAAAATTTGCATAGGGAAGTTCGGCGAAAAAAACCTAAAAAGTACTCCCTCCTTCCTTCTATATAGGGCCTAATGCGTTTTTTAAGACCGTCTTTGACTATTGACAAGATTAATAGTACATGACATGCACAATGTAAAAATTATATCATTGAAAGCTCCTTTCACACACGATTTTAACGGTATGTTTTGTGTAAGTTGCATGTCATATATTATTGCTCTAATATTTGGTCAAAGTTAGCCTCGAAAAACGCTTTAGGCCCTACATAGATGGAAGAGGGAGTAAGGATTTTTTTTCTTTTAAAAAATGCAAAGATCAGGACTTTCGAATTTTTTAATGGAAAATTGAATTTTGAACAAAATTTAGTTTTAAATAACATATAGCAGTTTTCGGTCCCAAATGTTCACAAAAACTTCACTAAGTCGAGTGGTAAGCCCTCCTTGCCGGCGGGTCCGAACCCTACACAACACGTAAACCTTGGGTGTGTTGTTTTTGAAAATAAATAAATAGAGAGTGTTCGCCAAAATCAGCTGATAGCGAACGAGTTCAGCAATCCTAAGTATTTTTGGTAACACGAAAATTGGCGTGAAAATCCCTCAAAAGAAAATTGGCATCA